ACAGGAGGAGCTGCATTCATACTCTGTGGGGTGATGATCGTCAGAAGTGTAATGTTATCTTGACGATGTGAAAGATTCGTTACTCTTAATCCAGTGGATTCCAAGTAATCAACCCCCAGTCTTGATTAAGAATTAGCAGGGGAATAAAAAGAGGTAGACAAGGCACATCACCTAGTGGGGCACTATCCATAAAGTCGGAATAGAGTCACATCACCAGGTAGACCATTATCTGATGAGTTTGACTATCAGAGGTAACTGTTAACGTGATAGTTGTTGGGCCCGCCATCCTACTGAAGAGGATTGACTTCAGTGGCCGTAGTATTTTTCCCTTCTGACTGGGAAGAGTGAGCCTGGTCCAGTTGCTCAGGAGAAGATTGGGCTTGGTCTGATTGCTCGGGCTGATCCTGCCTACTTTGTTCTTCAGCTTTGATCCTGGCAATGATTTTTTGAGCTTGCTCGCCTTGAGAGATTAGTTGTCTCCAAGAACGGCATTCTGCAACTCCTATTCGGGCTAGGAGGTCAGTTTGCAAGTTGTGTCGACAGGTCTCTACTAAGGTAGACTGTGTCATACCTGACGAACACCGGAGGGCCATGGTTCGGAACCTTTTGACGAAGATTTTGACGGACTCCCTCTTTTTCTGCTTGGTAGCGAGAAGGGTATGGATGGAGACTTCTGTATCCTCTTCAAAGAATCTTGATAGGAAGAGTCTCTCTAAATCCGCCCACTTTTGGATACATCCAGCAGGCAGTTTCCTGAACCATTCGAAGGTAACTCCTTTGAGGGTGCCAATGAACAATCGAGCCAGTATGGCATCGTTTGATATTATATTTCCAGTCTGTGACTTGAAATGATAAATATGTTGGTTCGGTGATCCCGTGCCGTCAAAAATTTGTAGCGTCGGGACCACGAACTTTGGAGGATATGGGGCTGCATCCCATTCGTTAGGATAGGGCCTGATAACTCCCTCATCTTGGAGCTCGCTTTTGTTAGCAATGGCTTTAAGGCGGGCTTCAAATTCTTCCATTTTGGCAGACTGAAGATTCTGCTCGTTCTCAGTCTCTCTTCCTTCATCAGAAGAAGACTCCAGGCTGTGGGCTTCTTGGTCAGAAGCCGCATCATCAACCACTTTTCCCTTCCCTTTGCTTGTGTGAGGTCGGGATGAAGATGCTTTTCCTCTCCGGGAAGATTCTTGCCTAAGCGGCGAATCTGTCTCCTGAGATTTGGCCTTGTCTGCGACGATTTGAGTCAACATGGCCATGAGTTCATTGATGGCCTCCTGCTGAGATTTGAGCATGGTCTCCTGTTCATCAAGTCTCTTTGAAAGGTCTTCAGAATGTTCTGCCATGTGGGCGAAGCTCTCATGCCCAACGAAAGAGCTTGATGATTGGGACTCCGCAATGGCTGAGTGTTCGTCATCGGAATTAGTTCCTCTGGCTAAACTCCGATAGTTGACAAGGGGAATGGCTCCTGTTCGAGTCCGAGTATGTTGGTAGATTCCTTCAAACTCGTTAGTGATTTCTCTGACGCTTGGAGAATGATCTGTCTCTGACTCGTCAGAACTAAAGGTTGATGATCTTCCTCTACCAACCATGTTAGAAGTGACTCCAATGTATTCATCCTCTAAAGTCTTCTTCCTGTGAGGATGTCGTCGATTATTGAGCAAAACGATATTCGTCGGTATCGACAGTAATTCCCGCAAGTCAGAGACTTGGGATGAACCTCTCACGGAGCGTGAGGGTAAAGATGGAACCCCCTGTCCGTTAAAGGATGGGACTGGTTCTTGGCAAACATGAATTTTAAATCCATGTTGATCATTTTGAACACGACGAATCACATCGTGTTCCAAAGAAGGAACACGAGGGTCGTGTTTAGCTTGATTAACGCAAGACTAAAGTCTGCGTTTTGCTAGTGAAACGCAGTCCTGCGATCTGCGTTCGGATTCTAAAACGCACTCCTGAGAGTTGCGTTCAGTTTGTGAAACGCACTCCTGAGAGTTGCGTTTTGGTTCTGGGACGCACTCTTGAGAGTTGCGTTCAGGTTCTGGGACGCACTCTTGAGAGTTGTGTTCAGCCAGATCAACGCAGGTTTGATGTCTGCGTTTAAATGTTGGAACGCACTCCTGAGAGTTGTGTTTTGGTTCTGGGACACACTCTTGAGAGTTGTGCCGAAATCGAGTCTTCTCCTTTAGAGAGGGGACTGTATGAACAGTGCAACCCCCATGGGAGATAGTCTTTAGATGAGTTGGCTACAACTGGAGCTTTTGTCTCCTCGGAAACTTTGTGGATCTTGCGCATAGCCTTGGGGCTAAGAGATCCGGAGGAGATGACCTCCTCGTACTTGGTTTGATCAAACTCGATAATCAGAGTTCGAATGGTCGTTCCAGTGAGATGAACGTCGGATTACACCACCACTTCTTCATCAGAGAAGCTAGTCCCCAGCGGAGTCGCCATCTTTTGTTTGTTGGAAATTTGCAGTAAAAAGACAATGAAAAAAAATTGACTTGTATTCCTCTCAAAATCAATTACAATTTGGATTCCGATTACAAAAGAGAGGAGAACGAATTTGACTCTCCCCTTTGTTTAAAACTGGGTTCTTCACGGTAGCGATGAGATGTCTCCCTCGAATGCTCGCGTTGAGTTTGCTTCTCGTTGACGATCCGAACGTCTTGATTCACTGGAACATGATCTTCTCATCACGATTTGACGCTGTGGAGAACTTGCGTGGCAAGTTTGAAAATAACTCTTAATGAGTTGATAACTCTGAACGAGTTTTAGAAGAACTTGCAGAGCAAGTTTTGAACTCTGATCGAGTTGATAATTCTGAACGAGTTTGAACTCTTGAAAAAGAGTTGATTTGAACCGAAAGTCGGTTATAAGCCAAGGGAATGCTCCTGTGGTCGATCGTTGCTGAGGATGAACGTCGATCTCCCCCTTGCTGCCAAGCCAAAGATCTCCTCTTTGTTGCCCAAAAAAGAAGGATCCAAGAGCCTCGAACTCAGTTGAGTTTCCCACTATTTATAGGGGATTAAGGGTGGTAACTACCCCCTTAATCCACTCCTCAATGGGCTGAGTGGGGTGTAACTGCCCTCTCTTAAACAACTCCCTAAATAGTGGGGAAAACGGTTTTGAAACCGTTCTGTTAATGTTTTGAACGAGTCAAAACGCTGAAAACAGCGTTCTGGGCCTTAACTCTGCATCTTATTGATGAGACGCAGAGTTGGGCGCTTGTTGGGAGTTGAAAACACAAGGGCCGCTTGCGTTCGGACCTTAACTCTGCGTCTTAAAGATGAGACGCAGAGTTGGGCGCTCGCTGGGAGTCGAAACGCACAGGCCGCATGCGTTTTAGAGATGAACTCTGCGTTTTAGGCTAAAAACGCAGAGTTGGGCCTGTTTAAAGGCTGAAAACGCACAGTTGTGCTGTTTTAGAGATTAACTCTGCGTTTCTAGACTGAAAACGCAGAGTTGAGCCTGTTTAAAGGCTGAAAACGCACAGTTGTGCTGTTTTAGAGATTAACTCTGCGTTTCTAGACTGAAAACGCAGAGTTGAGCCTGTTTAAAGGCTGAAAACGCACAGTTGTGCTGTTTTAGCGATTAACTCTGCGTTTTGATGTTGAAAACGCAGAGTTTGAGGCCTGTTTTAGGCTGAAAACGCACAGTTGGGCCGTTTTAGAGGTGAACTCTGCGTTTTAGGCTGAAAACGCAGAGTTGGGCCTGTTTAAAGGCTGAAAACGCACAGGTTGTGCTGTTTTAGAGATGAACTCTGCGTTTTAGGCTGAAAACGCAGAGTTGAGCCTGTTTTAGGCTGAAAACGCAGAGTTGGGCCGTAACTCTGCGTTTTGATGTTATATCACAAGGATATCTCTGCGTTTTGAGGTTATAACGCTGGTTCCACCTGTGCGTTTTGACTCTGTAATGCAGAGGCGAACCTTAGGCGGGCTTGGCGAGTTCCACCTGTGCGTTTTGACTCTGTAATGCAGAGGCGAACCTTAGGCGGGCTTGGCGAGCTTCAGGCTAAGTCCAATGTTCTGACGAAGTCCAGTCTTGCAGACGGACTTCAGAACATAGCTTGCTACGAAGAACATGTCATAACTTTCAAACCGCAAGTCGGAATTGGACGAATTATATATAAAAATCGGCTATCTCGACGAGACGGGGCCATCCAAACTAAGCCGAAGACTTCGGTTCGCTTCCTCCATTTCGCCAAATTCCTTACGGTTTGAGAGATATCTGCATTCTAATATGAAGAGACCGTCAATTTGTAGTCTCTTTTGCTAGAGCTTTGCAAAGATCGTCACCTTGTAATCTCCGTCTTGGCTCCTTGAAAATATGAGAGTCGTCAGATTATAACTCCCGATGTTGATTGTGAAGGCTGTTGAATTGGGGGCTTTCATTAGTTGTTGTGAAGGTCGTCAGATTGTAACCTTCTACATGAATGTCCTTAAATTGTAGCCTTCTGGAAGTCGTCAGATTGTAACTTCCATCATCGGTGTTTGATGGGGGATCAACTATCTATTGTGATTTTTAGACAGCCTACAGGGGCTCAGAGAATAAAATCTTTATTTTAGGAGGCAAAACACCCGTTGACAAAGTCTTAGGGGTGGGAAGCACGTTTTCTTGGCTTTTGGGGGCTGGAAGCATTTTTTCCCCAAAAAAATGATAATCTAGTTCTCCTCGGTCCCATTTCCGAGCTTATTAATTGGAAAATGGGGTTATTCGTTTTTCTGAGCTGGCAGCTGATTTTTCTAATAATTTTTTTTTATTTTAGGTTGTGCTAGACCAAAGATTAGAAAATCTAATTGGACCTAGATTTCCTACTATCACCATGTGAAACCTATTTCATCATATTATTTTTGCCAACTAAACAGCCCTTACATAAGATGGTAAGCTGAAGGTGGTACTACTCAGATCTCCAGGTCTCTAACTCCTTTATCATAACAAAAGAAATAAGGAGTTGAGAAAAGTATCTAAATACTAGAAATATATCTTATAACTTGTAGAAATATTACAATTTTAGTCATACCATTACATATGCTCGTCTTTTCACATGTTACAACATCAAAAACACATTCCTCGTGAAAATTCATCCTCTCGTCCTGATAATTGTGATAGTACCCCTCCCCTGAGTCTGAATCCTGGTGAGCGCCACCACCGCCTTGCCGGAGAGCCCTGGTCTATCGATGGATACACATGGGCCAATGGCAAACTCACCCACTGGATGCTTAACAGGTCGGGTGGGCCTCTTGAGGATTCTCTCATTGATATCTGCTAGTGTCACATTCCCCTCAAGCCCTATAGGCTTTAGCACTCTAAAAGGATACACAAACATTTTCTTCTTCCTTCTCTTTTCCTGCTCTTGTTGCTCAAGCTCCATATCTACCATCGTCGTCAAGATATAAGGAAATAATAAAGAATTAAAAGTTTTTTTCGAGGAACTAAAGGGATGCTCTAAAATGTCCGCATAAAAAAAATTTCCTGTATAGGTCCCGTCCAATGAAAAACATATGCTTAGGAAGTAAGAAGATTGTCACAAGCGTCCAAATACATTTTTAAAGTTGAAAGGTACTGATAAAGCAACGAGTTTGTTTTCGTTGGTAGGATGAAATATTGGTTATAAAATTCATATATTATTCTGATTATGTTAATACCATATAATAATTATATATTGATACCTGTATTATTTATCATCTTCAGAGGACTCTATAAAATTATTTATATATCCTCTAATGAAAATACGGATACAAAAGATTAGAAAGTACCTCTGAGAGGATGATGGCCGTTTTGAATGCCTAAGGAGTCTCTTGAATTTAGGGGGTCCGTTTTATCTGATAAGAAGCAATTCAGAATGTTTTCACCTAATAAATGGAAAAGAAATATTAGTGAGAAGTTTTGTTGAATAAAATATCATTTTATTTGTGTAAAATCGTGAAAACGAGTACTGAGCCAAGGGTATTATTGTCCATTTGAGTGAAATGATCTTGTGTTGTGCCTATGTTTTGAATTATGATTATGCTCTAAATTGTATAAATTATGTCCGGCTGATTAGTGATTATACAGTCGCTACAGTGCACAGCTGTTTTTTTCAAAAGTGGGCCAGAATGCTCCTTCTCTATAGTTTGCTTCATACAATCACACTTCTTCCTCATGCGGTATTAATTATTGATGGGATGGATCCTTGTTCAAATATATAAAAGTAAGATGACAATTTTAGAACTTTTTTGATGCAATAAGAAGCCCAATTTTATAAACACAACGGATTTAAATTTTCTTTATATCTGTAGTTTACGTAGGACTCAAATTCTCTCCAATTACATATCCTTTACCATTCAAAAATTTCTCAATTCGTTTATATATATATATATATATATAGAGCAAGACTCCTATCAACTTAAGTTGATGTCCACCAAAGTTCCTAGCCACACATTTATTAATATTTATTAGCTTATCATCAAGCTTGGCTCAAAAGTAAAGATAAAGATTGAGTGAGACGAGACATTAGCTTCAAAATCGTGCTATGTTCTTTGCTTAAGGGGTTGTTTGGTTCAAATTCTAAAATTTTAGGATTTGTAATTTTGTAGAGAATTTTAAATCCATAGGGTTTTATACATGCTTTGGGATTTTTAATATTTTGTATGGTTCAACATTATTCTAGAAAAGTAAATCCTACAATTTGTAACATCTTGTTGGAACAGAATTTTCTGCAAAACTTTGTCGGTTTACCTGAATTGTTGCTGTTATCTTCAACCAAGCAATTCAAACCCCACAAGGGATCTCCGTAACAACTTGAATCCCAAAATCCCTGCCACTAAAACTACATGGTAAGCACTAATGTACCAAATATTTTAGAGAAAGAAATGCTTAACAAAAAGAATTACATGAAGAAGCTCATGGATATTTTCACTTGTGAACTTTGCATCGTATGTGCTTGAAATCAACCGTCTCCTCTTGCACCGGTCACTCCACTGCACCACCGCATCTTGCAAATATCCCGTAGATGACTCTGACGACATCGGAGATTCAATATTTATCATAAAAATTGGAAGTACAACTACAATTCACATACACAAAAAGAGAAGACGGAATGCGAGGGGTTAGTCTTAATTAAAGTACTGGATAGATATGTACCAAGGGGCTTAATATTATTGAACTCATGCACATCTTCACGCCCGAGTCCAGAGGAATGTGAATCCCAATCAAGATGCAAAGATGGTTGTGGAGAGAAGAGGAGATAGTAATTGTCTAGGGCCATCATGTCTCCATGCTTCGAAGGCTTGCTCTCTTCCGTATGCTTTGTTTGTCTCTTCAATGATCAATATTTGTGTGCTTAAATAGGAGGACGCCTTTTGGACAGAAAGGGCTCTTAGATAATTAGAAGCACTCACTCTCAGTCAAATGCAAGAGTGAAGATGGGTAAGCTAAAGATAAAAGTGGATTGCTTTGCTTCTTTCTCGTGATTCGCTATGTTGATATATACTTTGGCTATACCTTCTATTTTTTAAATAATGATAATTATTGTATTGGCCTTTTTGGTTGGTGATCTTCTTTTTTACTGATTCTTGAGTACTATAATAGAGAAAAAATGTCACAATTTTCTTTTGCGTGAGGGGACTGAATAATTGCACGTCATGATGTGCGTTAGTAATAAGGGTAGGCAAGTGAAGAGATCGATTGGAGTGGGCTCCACAAAAGAAATTTGAAGTGGGGTTGTTAACTTGTTATTGACAAATGCAAAGACAGCTCCACATGGATGGGACCAAATTAGGCCTGGCCCATATAAGTGAAGAAAATGATGCCATGAAGGGGTCATAAAGGCATTCAAATTAAGTGGCATTCATTTTTTGTAGAGTAGAACTGTCTCCATGCGCGCGCGCAATAATCTATTTGATATATATGAAAACACATGGGTTACTCTCCCTTTTTGTGTCTTAGAATCAGTGTTGTAAAAGACAGCCTAGCCGGACATCTAGGCATAGGCGGAGCCTTGGCTACCTAGATTTGGCCGGAACGACCAATCTAGACGGCTGCTCCTCCTAGGCAACGCCTAGGGCTAGGCGGCCCGCTTAAGCGGTAGCCTAGCTTTTAAAACTAAAAAAAGAAATAAACCTTAAAACCTAGCCCAAACCCGAACCCGAACACATAAGCCAAACCCAAATATAATCCTACCTCTCTCTAACTCCATCTACCCCTCCAGAAACAAAATCTCGATGCCTCCTCTTCTCAATCTCCCCTTGCCCCTCCTCTGCTCCCGTCGCCCCTCTCCCACTGCCTCCTCCTGTCATGCCGCCTCCTCTCCTGCCACCTCCTCTTCTCCCGCCGCCTCATTTTTGTTTTCTCCCGTTCCTCTGCACTTACTCGTTGTTGCTCCCGATGAATCCATCATCCCTTGACCGTTGCCTCTGACGCCCTGACAACGAGCTCTGCAGCTTCCAACCAGTCCAACACGTGGTGAGCCCTGCTCTCGTGGTCCCTCTTCCTCCATCTCACTGTTGTCGTCCCTCTCACCTCCCACTTCGTTAACCTCATCTCCTCCTCTTCGCTGAGTCTTCATCGCCAGCCCTCCTCTTCTCTTTTCAAGGTAACTTTTTCATCCTTGTTTCATTATTTTATTTTTTTACCGTGATTGACTAGTCGGTAAACATATTTTTGTGAATTATTATAACTAAGTAAATTAAAAAATAAGCAAACACCTAGGCGCTAGGCCCCGACTCAAATGCCTAGTCCGCCTAGCGCCTTCTGTAACATTACTTAGAATAACACATGCGGATTATAAAGAAGGTAGATGTCTGACTGAGTGTTATTACATATTCCCACTATATTCACTAACACTCAACTTTCTTGTTTCATTTCAATCCCTTTAAGATTGATACTTAATTTTTTCACATCACATATGTGAGGGTCATGTAGTGCAATAGAGTAATCTGGGTGAATATTGACACCAAGAATTCTGTTGGCTAGATTGGACTTATATCCTCCTATTAGGGCATCCAATGGATTTAAAATTATTCTTTGATCCATACAGAGTACCATAATAGGCATATTAATACCAGACTTGAATTATTCCAGAATTTTGAATTGGGTGAGTCTAAGATGAAGATATTTGATATCTTTATATTTTTCTCTTAATTCGTTTATTTTCCCCTAATTGAGGAGTGCAATGCTTTTAAAATTTTTAGAGCAATATGTTCATATTTCAGGATCTAATTGGATGATCTTCGCCTTCGAACCGGGATCTTATACCAACTTGAAGTGCAAATATTTTGACAGAAATACAAATAAGATTCATACCCAATATGTATCTAAAGCATTAGTTTGTATCACTGTGTATCTCTAGATTGTGGTTGATAAAGGATTTTTTTTGTTCTTTAATTTTTTTTGATGTTACAATTTCTTGTAATTGTTCATCATTGAGTGTACTTTTAATTTTTTTCAGTATCCAAGCTTGTTATTCCTTTGTAATTTCTGTCTTTATATTTCTTCTACTCTTCACTAAGTTTGTTGTGAAGTTGATGTAGCACACATTTAATAAAAACAAGTTCCTCATTCTTATTATTAGTTTTCTATTTTCTGAAATTATTTTCTAAGTTTCCTAATTTCATGTTTTCTATTCTAAGTTTTCTAATTTCATTTCCTATTCTTTGTATTATGTATTCTATTTAAGGCTTTGAGTTGTATCTAGGAAAAACAATCTGAATAATATTTGTATTCTATTTAAGGCTTTGAGTTGTATCTAGGAAAAACAATCTGAATAATATTTTGGAAGAAAAGTTATCATTAGTTTTTTAGGCTTTGAGTTGTATCTAGGAAAAACAATCTGAATAATATTTTGGAAGAAAAGTTATCATTAGTTTTTTTTTTATCAATTTGGGTTCTCGATTATTTCTTTGAAACACCTATTCCGTTGCACCAAATTGGTAGCAGAGCCTGGATTTTCACCTAGACCTGATGGCTGAGGACGATTCTAGTGGGAAACAACCCGCTGACGACAAACGACGACTCGGAAGAGTCGAACAACGACTCGATGGCTTTGCTGAAACACTTCGCAATATGACACAAATGATGTCTGTGTTGACTACCGAAGCGAGGCATGAAAGAAGGGAGAGGCTACCAGATCGAGTAGGGGACCGGTCGGGGAATGGCAACCCCGGTGGCGATGGCGGCAAAGTGATTGGTGGCCGGCAGAGCCCCGAGCGAACAAATCTAGATGCGTAGAATCCTAGGGTTCAAAATCTCGACAACCCAGGCTTGGGTAACCCACGTCGACCCTTGGGGGGGTTACGATTGACCCCTGGTGACCCTAAATTGGAGCCGATCTGGGCGGTGGTGATAGATTCCAGCGAGTGGTTGCGAGGGACTTTGGTGAGCAAGACAAGTTTTTTTCCTCCTTTTCGAGGTAGGGTTGCTTTTCGCCAACCACAACGGAGGAATCCTCCTTGTCGGCAGCAACAGGAGTTGGATTATTTATCCGGGGAAGAAGATGGTTTCTAATTTGACCATCGGGCTATGAATCAGGTCAAAATAGCCAACAATTTAAGATGAAGATGGACTTGTCGTGCTTTGATGGGCACTTACATATTGAAGATTTTCTCGATTGGATTCATAACGTCGAGAATTTTTTGATTATTTAGAGATTCTGGAAGACCGACAAGTTTTAACTTGTGGCCTACAAGTTGAAAGGTGAAGCTTCTGCTTGGTGGGAATAGCTTCAATATAACCGTCAACGACACGGAAAACAACGTGTTCATACTTAGCCTAAGATGAAGAGGTTACTTTAACAACATCTTCTTCCCCCTGATTATGAACAATTCCTATGCCAATGATAAACACATTTTATTGTAATTTTATACCCTCATTATCTATTTTATATGAATAAATATACCACTAATAATTGTTTTTATCTTTAATTCCAGGTTAATGAAGAATAAATCTCAAAACTCTCATCTCTCAACAAAAAACCCTTGATTTAATGAAGAAATAAAGCAAAGAAGATCATTGAAAAATCAATTGCCAAATTATCCAAAAGGCCAAAACCAAAAGAAGGAAAAATGTCAAAGCCCAAAAGAAGAAAAGAAAAATATATCAAAGCCAAAAGCCCAAGCCCAAAAGCCAAGGAGAAGAGGAAGCTGCGGGCTGAAAAAGGAGAAGGCTGGGTATCGATGCCGGCATCAATACAGACATACAGTTTATTACGAATCTAAGGTTGAAATTTATTGCTTTTGGATAAGATTTTAATCCAATGGCTCTCATTCACTGATGTTTACTATAAATAGGGGTAGAGAGTGAGGGGTTATAGGTGTGAAAAATTTTGTAACTCTATTTGGAGAGGAGGGCTACTCTTAATTGAGAAGGTCTTCCAAAAATTATAATTTTTGTTGTAATTAATAATAATAATTTTTTCTCCACTTTAAATTTATCTTTTCTCCTCTTTGTTGAATGATGAGGATGGAGATGAAGAGCAATTTGAAGGTTTGCATTTTTTTATTTTTCTCTTTTTTTTTTTAATTTCTTTATTATTGCTTATTAGTTAGATTTACATTCATGTTTGTAGTGTAGATTTATTTTCTTATCCTTTTATTTTTTTTTGCACTTTAATTTGTAGAGTAGATTTATTTTCTTGCATTTAATTTTTGCAATTTATTTTGTAGTTTAGATTTTAATTCTTTATAGTTAGATTTATTTCTTGTTCATAGTTTAGATTTTTATTTTCTTTTTAATTTTATAATTAGTTCTTTTTCTTCTTATTTTTATTTCTTAAGATGTGAAATTAATTCTTGTAGGAATCTTAGAATTGTATGATGCTAGTCTAATTTCCTATATAGTATGCAAATTATTCTCTTTCACTTAAAATGTTCATGTTTAGGATAATCAACTAGAAAACTAATCGGTAGAAGAAGAATTTGATAATCTATGCTTATCTTAAATGGTTTGATAGGTTATGCTTATGAATTCTAGGATTACTATCTTGTTGTTGGTCTTATCATGAATAGTAATTTTAACTTAGATGATAATTTGATAGGTTATACTTTCCTTAAATGGTTTGATAGTCTATGCTTAATAAATCTAAGTTGAAATATGATAAAAATAGAATAGTTTGTATTTTGTAATTGAGATTAGCTAGTGGATTAAATTCTAGATTTCTCATATCTTAAATTGAATCCTCCATCTTAACTTTCTTGAATTCTCTTTTCATTCTTGATTTTATTTCTTGATTTTATTCAATCTTCTTTCTTGCCTTGTGATTTCATTTATTCTTTAATTCTTTCTTCTCTCCTCTAAAATTTAACTTATTGTCTCTTGCATATATTCACAATAATCACTCATCACAATCACACTTATTCTTTAATCCTACTTTGTCACACACACAACATAAGAACCTATTCTAATAATCTCTTAAAATCACCTTCCTCGTGGGATCGATATTTTTATACTATAACTTGATCAATTGTGCACTTGCAATTTTGGTACATAATTATACCGCATCAGCCAACAATACCAAAATTTTCGTCAGAACAATCGCACGATGAATGAGTACACAAAGGGATTTTATTCATTAAATGCTCGAGTCAATCTGTCAGAGACGGAAGATCAATTAATTGCTCGTTATATTGGAGGTTTAAAATTGACTATTCAAGACTGTTTGGCACTTCAAGGAGTCTGGACTATGACTGACGCAGTTAATTTGGCGTAAAGTGGAAAATCAAATCAATAGGTCTACCGTGCGCACTCTAAGTAATTTTCGACGACCAACTCAAGAAGCTTTTTTTACTCTAAGAGGGTCTACATCTTCGGGCAGCATTGAAAACTACAATAAAGACGCACCTTCTACTCAAGATTCGATGCAGAATCGAGGAAGGACTTCAATTCCTATTGGATCGAATACTCAAGGTTGAAATCAGTAGCTAGAACGAGCCACTAATGACCCTTATGCGCGCCCTACTCTTGGAAAATGTTTCTGATGCAACCAACCCGATCATCTTTCAAATAATTGCCCGAATAAACGAATGGTCAATTATGTGGAAAAGGATGATGGTGACGAGGAGCATGTGCTTGAAGAAGATATTTATGAAGGAGCTGAGATTGATGTGGGAGACGAAGGAGAAGAGGTAGCTTGTATTGTTCAATGCCTTTTGCTAGCCCCAAAGGTGCAAGATGATTTGCAACACCACAAGATATTCTGAACCCGATGCACTATTAGAAATAAAGTATGCAATGTGATTATTGACAGTGGCAGTAGGGAGAATGTGGTCTCCAAGGCTTTGGTAAAGACACTCAATTTGAAAACTAAGAAGCATCCCTCGCCTTACAAAATTGCATGGATTAAGAAGGGCCCTGAAGTTCAAGTTCTAGATGTTTGCAAGGTTCCTTTATCGATTGGCAAATATTACAAGGATGAGATTTTATGTAATGTAGTGGATATGGATGCTTGTCATGTGCACTTAGGAAGACCGTGGCACTATGATGTGGATGCTACTTATAAGGGTTGTGATACTTTTGTCTTTTGGTGGTTTGATAAGAAGATTGTTTTGTTGCCATAATCTCACCCGTCTGACAACAATTCAGCTATTAAGCAAGACAAGCCAGTGTTCACCAACATAATGGGTTCAGCCTTCTTTGCTGAAGTCAAAGAACCGGGTTTTGTGATAGCATTGGTGGTTAAAGGTCAATCTAAGACTATTGTTGAAATCCCTCCTCTAGCTCAAAAGGTACTATCTGATTTTCCTGATTTATCTCCTACTGAATTGCCTAAAAAGTTGCCTCCCACGAGAAACATTCAACATCATATTGATCTAGCACCTGGAGCTAGCTTACCCAATTTGCCACATTATCGCATGAGCCCAAGTGAATATGGGAATTGCAAAGGCAAGTTAATGAGTTGCTTGATAAAGGTTTGATTAGGGAGAGTATGAGTCCTTGTTCAGTCCCTGCCCTGCTTACCCCGAAGAAAGATGAAAGTTGGAGGATGTGCGTTGACAGTCGTGCCATCAATAAATTACTATCAAGTACCGATTTCTTATTCCAAAACTTAATGATATGCGCTGTCTTGAGCTTTGGCACCCTAACCTGCTTAAATCTTGGTGATTATTTGACCACCTCTTCTTTTTGTAGTTTTTGTGCCTTTCGCACAAGGATCCGGGCATACGCAAGAAGTGTGTGGTGCTTCTGGATGCGCTCTTCAAGAGTAGTACGGGTTCGTTTAATATGAACCCATTTGTTAGTTAGCAGTTGGGAGGAGAACCCCGATGCTTGTTGCGGTGACGACTTAGCCACTTGGCGCCTTCTAAACTCTAGATCCTCTTGGTAGCGAAGTCTGTCCACCTATTCCAAAGCTTTAGTGAATTGGCGGGCAAGACGTTGGCGACGCCTCTGACGAGCCCTTTTCGTCAGCACTGGTGCGCCTTTGATGGGCAACGCCGTGACCTTTGAGGAGTTGTCACGAGCGTCAAATTCGGCTTCCTTGGGGGCCTGAGAGGAGTCTTCTACAGCATTCGGGTGAAGATTATCACCCCAAATTTTTAGATCTGAAGGCCAATTAACCTTCTTCACGGAAGTGGTCTTCCAGCGCTTGCCGGGAGAGGAAGAATCTGGAGGAGGAGGAGACATACTCCTCAAACTTTTGCTGGTCGAACTCATATTAGACCTCTTCATCCACAGGATCTTGATCAGTGGCTACGACAAGGATCTTGATCGTTGGCTACGACACGACAGCCTCGGCAGTGAGACTGTTGGCTCCCACTGTGGTCGCCAGCGTGTTGGTGTCGAAAGTTGATTTGTTCATTACGAGACTCATTACAACTTCAGTCGTTACAATAAGTTCAAAAAAGAAAGACTTTTTATAAGTCTCCTTACACAATGAAATTAAAAAAATTATAACTTTCTTGAGAACACACGCAGAGAGATTGTTAATCGGTCTTCTGCTTGTGCGAGATCTTTATCGGTGCAAGGGTTTATCCATGGACCACCAACTGATCAGATCCGAATAAAGATTTCATTGCCTCGCAAAAGAAATAAGAAATTAAAGTGACTATCTCGACAACAGCAAGACAATCACTCTTCTCGAGAATCACAGCTAGGTGCGATCTCAAGGGAAATGGATAAACAGATGCAGATCTCTCGAACTCTTCCTCTCTTTGTACTAAAAAACTCACCAAGATCTCTTCCTCCTCTATGAAATTTGTGCTCCTCACTCTTCAATTCGACAGGGCTTCACCGAGACTCGAACAGGGCTTCACCGAGACTCGAGAATTCCGGATCTGTACAAATGAAGGCCCTAGGACCATATTTATAGGTTTCAGAAGCTCGGCTTTTGAATAAGAATGGCCGATTTGATCTCATCCTCAGTTGTAACTGCTTAATCATGTTCCAAGATAGATTCAAATAAGTTGGGAAGGCTTTGGATCAGAATATACCAAAATTCCAGTGGTTAGCAACGAAAATAGCATTTCAGGCATGAGACAGACTTCGTGTCTTGGCCTTGGCCGAGACAAAAAATGTGCCTTGGCCTTGGCTAAGATACAATGTGTGTCTCGGCCTTGGCCGAGACACAATACGTGTCTCGGTTTTGACCGGGACGCTGTTTAGCGTGTCTTGAGTGTTTTCCTTGTAATTTTCCGGTTTAACCTCAGAATGACACAATTTAAAGTGAGTTGGAAAGCTGAAGAATAGATCTACAATCTCCCATAGGTGGATCACATGTGGGGTAGACAAGACATGAGTGACACTTTGTCTTTCATGGGTGAAATATAACTCCTGATCGAATCGTCTTTTCGTTATTCTGCCGCCCCGTTGATTCGTACGCTTCGTCGAATCACTTCATGCACTTGTCGACGTTAGATAATTCCTCTTGACTTGGATAATGATGTTCATCATCTTCTCTTCACCTCGAGCTGCATGTGAGAACCTATAGGTAATTTTTGACGCCTACAAGGAGGACCGACGAAGGAGGTGACTGCTCAACTCCTCCACTGGCTGCTACCAGCGACTCCTTGCCTTTGACTTTAGGAGAGGGAATGTACCTCTCTTAGTTTCCTAGGACTTTTTTGTATTTCGCTTTTGCGTTGTATATATGTGCATATATACCTTGTAAATACTCCTTATAAATGAATAAAGAAATATTTGTAAGAATGAATCACTTTCTTTGTGTTGTGCGATCTTATTTTGGATTTCCTATATGAATTAGCTCCACCGTAAGCTTGTAAACTTGATTGCTGACTAGAGGGGGATCGACCTTTGCTGAGAAAACACGTCTTGAACTCGAGCAATTATTTCTTTTCTCTCTCTTTGTGTTTGGAGCCACTCGAGCTGATGGCCATTACTAATTAGCATTTGAACTCCTTGGGGTGAGTGTCTGAGAGTTACAAGTTGGCTTCTATAGAGGGTGAGCTTAGTGGAGAGTTTTCTTTTAATTTCGTTGTCGGCTCTAAAGGGTCAATCAGGTCTGGTCAACTGTTCATCAAATAGACATTGTTTGGTGAGTTTCCAGAAGCCTTTATTAGGTAGGTGAAACGTTACTGTTTGAAATGATGTGATGACGTCATCAGAAGCTAGAGATTTATGGCGTCACTTCAATTTTTGAGCGAAGAGGCATGGAGTAATGGGGGCGGTGCTTCGAGTTTCGTGCGAACCATTGGAATTTCGAGGTGTACCCCGTCCTTTTATTTCAAAATGAGCCGACCATTCATATTATTCCATGTGTCTTCCTTGGGTGCTATATATAGCCCACTGGTAGCGAAGAGTAGTCTTTTTCACAAACTTTTGCTCTAGATCTTCGGCGCTTGCCTCTCTAATTTCCCTAATTTCTTTACGAACTTTTAACCATCTTCTATGACTGCCTAAACTTCAACCGTCGACCGTAATGGGGAGAGAATTGATCTTCTTTGGCCAATTTGATCGAAGATCTATATCGAAGAGCTCAAGATATACTACGAGCTCTACGACCTCCCCAAGGCCTTTACACTCTTACTGTCGAGCTGGGATGAGCCAGTGTACCGCCACGGCCAGAACAAGTCACCGCTATACATCGTTCACCTTGAGTATGGGCTCCGGCTGTCGCTCCATCCCTTCATTAGGGATGTGTGCATCACTCTGGGGGGTATTCCCCTCACGGTCCACCCCTAACGCAATTGGTGTTTTGATGGGCTTTGTGGTGATCTATCACCAAGTCGGCGTCCCGCCGAGCATGCGCCTGTTGAGGAATCTGGTCATCGTCAAGTCAATGAAAAAGGACCCCATTACTTCCTACAATACACTGGGGGTTGTAAATTTGTATCGGAAAATCCAGAATCGAATAAAGATTGGAAGGAGCGATTTGTGTCGGACTTCGGGGCCAACGACGTCCTATCCTCCCCCAACTAGCCTAATATCAATAAGGACATGCTGAAGCCATGTGTCCTTACTGCTGAGGAGAGGTGGCAGTTGGAGAAGATTTCCTATGCCAGGTCTCGGGAGAGAGGCAATCTCTTCAAGGCAGCATCTCTCCAGGTGGCGAGCGTATCGATGATGCCCCCCACTAAGGCCGAAAAGGTGAGGGTGACTCTATTGGCCCTCCCATTGGAAAAAAGCCCTAAGATAAATTCAAGAGGGGAGGAGTCAGGCTCGGACACGAGTCCCCAAAAGGGGTTGAGGGGTAATCTAGACCCCAAGGAGGTAGGCAGCTTAAGGTTGCGAGTGGCCAAGATCGCTGCCCAGCTGGCTGGGCAGAGGGTGAAGGCCAAGAAGGACCAAGGGCCCAGTGGGCTGACTGAGCAGGTTCGGGTTAGCTCCGTCGAAGAGCAGCAACCGGTCATCCCAGCTTACCGACAAGATGAGGTCGTCATCATCGACGACTCTTCCCCCTAGGCCAGCGG